CGTGTCGATTTCCTATGTTCTTGCCTGTCGTGAACCATCGCGAGACAGCTTCGATGCAATTTGTCGAAAGCGTTACATGCGTTACATATATACATGTCAGTCTATATGATTATTCGATTTCGATTTTGATACACCATGTGTGACATATGTAAGACATTGACTTCTGTCACTGATTCTGGCCCTGGCCCTGGCTCGTCTCAGATCTGCACAGTAGCCGTCGATGTGATGTTCCTGGTGTATAGGCCGTCGGATAAGGTCCACAATTCAGATATTTATGAAGCCGTGGTGTCAACGGTCCTCGACTGACGGGCAAAAATTTGTAAATGACACAAATGTAGCTTTGGTGCCATGCTTTATATATTAGCATATCAGCCCAACCAAGTTAACACTAGCCGCACAGTCTGCAAATTGCCCTATTATTGACACCGACTGGTCGCAGATAAATTGCCCGCAGTCGAGAACCGGCGGCTCAGTGCTACTTGGTTCTGGTGCCGAGCATTTGAGTTCCAGCGCTCGACCGACAGGCGACGCACCAATTTCCAGTCTGCGATGTTCATAATCATTGACACTCAAAGAATCGCGCCAGTTAAGACTCGGTCGAGCAGCGGCGGTGGCGCCAAGCAGCCAATCAGATCGCGCAGAGCTCGAAATCGTGTCACTAAGAGCCCCCTAAATATACGCTCGGAAGCCCTAAGTCGCTGCTCATGGGATTCTTGTGTGACCCCTGGCTACAACGACCTGTCATCATTGCTGCAAGCTGCTTAGTGTTGGGCATTCTGGTTGTTGCGGTCATCCCGTATGGCATGGGAGCATCAGAAAGTGGAGGAGCCAGCTACTCAGCAGGGATCTTTCCACAGTTCGCTGTGCGGCAAGGGCTTCACATGCTGGCGGGCAGAGGAATTGACGTACACGGTGGGTCTGATACGAGGCCTTATCGAACCCACAGCAATGCGTATAAGCATGAATTGTTCAGCTCCTGAAGCTTCCACTGACAGATCAGGTCCGAGCACCTCGGTCCTCAGCGCTAAGTCCGAAGACTGAAGATTCCAGGAAATGTGAAATGCACTGACATGAGAAATTGCAACCTGCATGGTTGAATGCTGAGTGTTGTACGGCCAATTGGCCTAGTCATTGTCGTTGAGGAGAAACTTTTGGAGAAGAACTAGCTCTTAAATCGCACGCTGGATGTTAGGGCAGTCATTGGTCTACGCCCATCAAAGTTGCAGCATTGACACTTTATTGAACCTCCTGACACAAAAGTTCTCACCTCAAGTATCATTTTTCTGCGTATGCCTCTCCTCCAAAACAGCAGCTTGAGCTTTCCCCATTTTCGCTGTGCTTTTGCATCCTTTATCTAGAGACCATGTGCATCAACGGAATCGCTTCTTGCAGCTTCATGGGATTCTGAGGCGCAGCATGAGCGATTGCTTAGAGAAGCGATCCAAACAATGGAGGAGAACATCATGCGCAGGGAGAGCTACATCAGTCCCTGGCACACCGGTCATATTAAAGACGAAAAGGTGAGAACACGTACACAGAGATATATTCAGCAATTCACATACACAGACTGATCACTCTACGGTAGAGTGCGAGCATGCTTTGGTTTCCTGACTTGTCTTGAATAAGAACTGTCTCCTTCTTTCGAGTTGTGAGTTTGTTGTTGAAGGGGCGTCAAGATTCTCCTTGCACCCCGTGATCTGCTGATCTTCCATCCCAGAAAGGAAACAGGTTTTCAACCAATGGCCAGTGCTCTTTGCCACTTAACGATAATTATCACCACAACTCATGATGATGGGTCACTTAAGCCATGAATCTCGGCCAATCTGGACACCAGGACCTGCGAGTGACTGATACAAGCATGACGACCGTCACTGGCACGTCCGAAGCTTCCTGAGAGAGTTTGTTATGTTGCAGGAAGTCTACCTGAAGGAACTGATGGAGTACTGGGTGCCCATCTATCCATGCTATCGCGAAGTTCGGTATGGTCTGATGGGGGACGGCGGAAAGTGGGTGTGCAATGCGCACAGGCTTAACGGACAGAGCATTATTTACAGCATAGGGAGCAACGCGCAGACATATTTTGAAATGGAACTGATCGGCGCCACTGGAGCGGAGGTCCACGTTTTCGATTGCACCTTGAAGGAGGCGGACGTTGCGAAAGTGACCAGCCTGTCCCCGCTGCTCGTCTTCCACCCGTGGTGCCTTGCGGATGAAACGAACCAGGCAAGTATGGGTGCGGCCGTCCCCTTTGACAAAATCCAATCTTCCTGTATGAAGCTTTTTCAGATCTGCTGATCGGTTAGGAGCAGAGGATGAATACGTCTAGGAAGAACATGTAGACTTCCGTCCATTTCCTGAGCCATTCAATACCGGCAGTATAGAAAGGTCGTCAGGGGATTACGCTGGCAACTTCATTTCGGAAACTTCCGCAAGAAATGAGCAACGGAGATTACAGCATCTTATTAACCGCTTACAAGGCACATGTGGGTTTACCTGGCTTGGGTGCAGGATAACAATGTTTACAGCCTGACTGACATCATGCTGAACCTCGGGCACACCTTTGTGGATGTGCTGAAAGTCGACTGCGAGAGGTGCGAGTACACCAGCTTCAAGTCGATCCTGAAGCCGCAAGTCTCCAACCCACCTATTGGACAATTCTTGGTGGAGACTTATAACGGGGCTGCCCTGGAGAAAGACGATCACAAGATTGTTGACACGTTCCTTAGGGAGTTGGAGTCCGCAGGGTTCCAATTGTTTCACTTGGAACCAAACTGGCAATGGTGGCCTCCAGGTGCTGAATGGGCGTTTGTCAATCCGTCAAGATTGGGATAGGCATAGTCAACAAAGCAGAACACTTACGTTTAGAATCTGAACAGATTGAGTGAGTAGTTGGCATGGATATCGGTCTTCCAGAAGCCACCTGATGACACCAGCCAATCCATTGGGAGCGCCTCAGCTGGTTGACAAAGTCATTGAATCCTTCGACAAGCCATTCTTCTGCGATTGATGCAGTGCCAGACCTCTAGTTGTTTGCCAAACGAGCATTCAAACTAAGCGTGAGACACACAGTGATGAGTCTGGCCAATGCACATGCACTGAACAAAGTTTGTCAACACAAACGATTATGTGTGTGCCAGGAGGCCGGCCGCCCCATGGTAGGGTACGGTCACGGTTGTATACAGTCCCCTCCCTCAACATGTTGAGTACTATGGCGGCCGGTATACTAAGCTCCTAAATTAAGTGAGATAAACATATATACTAATGGAGTGGCATTCCGACACCACTGAGATTCGCATTAAACTTGACTAGAAATAATTGCAGCTTGAGTCTCGATCATGCGCCGTAGACTGGTGCATGGACGCGTCTTATTGCATGGGGACGCAGGCCGGGATTCACCACGATTGATCAGTCCCATTATCCCATAGCACAACACAGGCTGGTTATACGCATTTTCGGGTTCCGCGACACCGTCGCGACGGTCGGGCAACCGTTGCCCAAAGGCTGTTGGGCAACAGTTGCCCGACAACATTGCAACAGCGTTGCAACACTGCGGCGCAACACTGAAAGTACGCTTTCGACATTCGATATATATACGCGAATAATATAACCGACCGCCGAGTTAAATTTTCAGACCACAAGTTTTACATCGTAGGCTGCGAATTTAGAAAATAGGCCAATGTCAAACTCGCGCGCCGGCCTTGCGGGACCCGACTTTTTCAAGGCTGCTAAGCCTATTGTCGAAGCAGATTGGCACCATTCCCATTTGAAAACGCCTCGTTGACACACTCTCCTGTAAGTTACACAGTATGTTTCCAATGTCCTAGGCTCCTTAAGTCCCGAAGTAGAGACTGTGTCTTCAAGGGAATTTGAAACGCGGTGTAATTTTCCGAGTCTGCCCCTATTGGGTATGGTGTCTGGGGCACTTGAATTTGGGGTCTACTTTGCCACGCCGGGCACCCTGTCAGTCTGCTCATAGTATGTGAAGTATGCCCGGGACCAAGCTGACAACGCTCAGGACGCTTACAGGTCTGATTTTCAGACTGGGGAAATCATCGAGGAGGAGAATCCGTGCGAGTGTCCGCAGTCAGCTGTGCACTCCAAAATCATAGAGTGGTCCCGGCGGCACCCGGTATTGCCCATATCACCAAGAAGCGCGGAAATAGGTGTTTGCGTTAGCGGTGTGAATTCGCGTGACAAAGGGGTGTTACGTGGCTCACTGCACTGCGAGAGGCTTTTAACATTTTCTGTTTGTGACCAAGGTGTGAATGCCAGTGCATGCGGCTGTGCCCCGGTGGAAGGATTATCGCGACTGGTTGGTGCGTATTACCACCTCAGCTAATCATTTGCCTGCTTATTTATTTAATGACCTGCCCCACGTGTACATGCCTAGAGGCTCTTCGCTGGAAGTTTTGCGTGGAGCTGGGGTACAATTTCTCATTAAGTGCGGTTAAACGAATTGGGTTTCGCTTGACCAGCCACTAAGGTTGCGCGTCGACCGAAAACCTCCGAGGTCATCCCAGGTTTTTGAGCCAATCAGAGGCCTGCTTTTCATAAATATGGGTTTGTGCGAGGTTTGCATCACTGGGGTGATTGTGTCGCCTGTAAGTATCAAATTAGCATCTTTTCTGCTCAAAGAAGCTTTGTCGGCAACTGCCACCACTCATGGCATTGCCCATGTGCTTTGGATAGAGCATTTTGGTGCAGAATTGGGTGATATAGGGCGCACAGATGTGGAAGGTTTGCTGCAAACCACTGCCAAAACCAGGGTTTTCTGACCACGTGGTCTGACAACATCAAAGTGGGGGGTGGTAGGTTTTCGGTCGACGCGCAACCTAACTGCAGCTTGCAGAGCATGTGATATCTGCCGTCCATGTTTGAAATCTGACGGTTTTTGAGCGTTGTGCCCTGCGACCCACATTGAAAGCTCTCCGACTTTTTCAGAGTACAAAAGCGCGATTTCGAGGCTTCGAGCCCTCTCAAAAGCGTGCACTGGCGTATGCCATGTACCCAGGTAATGGTTTCGCGGGCGATTTCAAAGTTCCTTTGAGCTTTGTAAGGTCGACTGGGAAGTTGAAATGTGTCGCCAGGAATCGAACTGTAATGCGAAACCGGTAAGGGTGAATGCGTTACACTTTACAAATCCACGAGTTCGTAACGCCAGTCGATCGGGTTTATTTAGCGTTACCAGAATTTCGAGGACTATCTTCTACTATACATACACTATACGAGGTACCGTACCAAGTTCCAACGGTCTCAATCTCAACGAAATTACTGCGTGTAAAGTGCCAGCCTGGTGCTATTCAATGATTTGTTCCAGACAAATCAATCAAATGGCATGCCGAGTGCAGCACTTTGTGCTGCCTTTCTAGTTGCGCCTCTGCCGGCCGCTAGTGGAACGACACCCTTTTCTCGGGGGCGCAGGAATTTCCCGGGGGAGCTCCGCGCCATTCCTGCGCCCCGCTACTACCTAGAACCCCGGGCCCTCAGGCGGGTTGGAACGCTAAGTCTGCGGCAGCCGGCTAGTCTCCTCGTGGCAGGTACCGGTAGTTACTAATTGCAAACCTTGCCCTTGTTGCCCCGCCGCCAGCGGCGGCCGGCCAATGGCTGCCGCATTTCTAGGGCCATGGTTGATGATAACTTTAAGTAGTAGTTATAGTATATACGGTATACCATGAGAGCTCGGCGATACCGATGGTTTTCGCGTCGAACGAGAGCTGATATCTCCCCGAGGGCGGAGCCCCGAGGGGGATATCAAGCTCGAGGTCGACAAGAAACCTTCGATATCGCCGAGCTCGAATGGTATAACTCGCTTATCGCTTAGTCCAGACCTTGCATCGCCGTCGAGCCTGCCAAGAGTTTTTTGATATACCCCTCTGCGGCGGGGTATATCAGCGATATCTCCCCGCCACGTGATTCGATTTCGAAACGATTCTGATGGCTCCCGGCAAAATGGCTGAGCGAAAAACCCTGACGGGCGATAAGGAATTGCATGCACAGTTTCAAAACCGAAAACAGTGAAGTTGTGAACACGCGGAGATCATCCGAGTTGCAAAATGGGAAATGTTGCCATGGTGGCTGAACTTCCTTCAGGGAATGTCATGGCGGTGGAAGGTGGCGGCAAGCCAGCAACCTAACCTGTTCAAGTACATTGGTTTCCTCAACCTTCAGGGCTCTCGAAGGACCTCTCGAACAGGTCCTCCATCCTGTTCAATGTCTAGTCTGATCTCTGTTTGCTTGGCAATTGCAACGCCCATTTGTCAATGATTACAATGCAAAAGGATCGAAGCTGCCACTCCCTTCAAATAGTCTGGCCTTCCATTTGGATGAGAGTTGCCGAAGCTGCAAGCAGAATCCCTCGACACCCCCCGCAATTTCGCAATGACGACCCTGTACGTCGGCAAATTCAACCTCTCTGCAGTCGGAGAAGAGCAGCTGCGGCGCGCCTTCCAACCCTTTGGTTCCCTGAACTGGGTCCGTATCAAAGAGGGCTATGCATTTGTGGACTTTGCGGAGGAATGCGCCGCGCAGGATGCGTACCAAGCGCATGAGCACGGCCTTGTGCTGTACGGGGAACGGATGGTTGTCCGCTGGGCGAGACTGCAGCAGCGGCAAGGGGTTGCTCAGGCAAAGTTTCCTCTGGTAGAGACAAAGGGCAGCGACGAACGCCGGTTTGGGGGACCTCATGTCACGAATGTGAGGCCCTCTTTCCAGGGCACGAGAAGGTTTTGCACCATATGTTGCAGGGCGGGGCATGATACTAATGTATGCTACTATAACACTGCTGTAAAGCGGGAGGCTCGGGGTGGCGCCGAGCGGGGTGCCAAGGTTGCTGCTTGGAGGGCGAGGGGAGATGACCACGGCAGAGATCAGAGGAGGGACAGGGATACGACCAGGCTGGCGAAGGGCACAAAGCTGAGGGGGGCCAATCGAGCAGAGCACAGGCCAAATGCAAGGGACAGGGGCACTTTGGAAGGAAAGGCACAGGCTTGCGGAGGGAACCCTGAGAAGGTACCTGCGGCCGAAGGAACCGGTGGCAGAGCGAAAGAGCGTCCCCCTGAGGGCAAAGGTGCACATATTGAGAATGCCAAGGCGCTGGTTTGCGCAGCAGAGATGCAAGCTTCGGGCAGCAAAAGGAAGGGGCAGAGCGGGAGCAGGGGACGCTCTAGGAGGTGAGCAGGACTTCAGACGGTGCTTGGTGCTTCAACCTATCTGGATACATATCATAATATCAGGATGCTGGTTTCGGCAATTGCGCATGGATTCAAAGAGGGCAGACGACCGGGGCAGCCCATAATGTCAGCACCGGTCAGGGAATGCTGGCTTGGGAATGCCACCGCCACTTGGGGCATGCTGGCTACACAAGCGCAGAGGGGCAAGCTATACAGTCGCCCTGTGACTTCAGGGGGACCGCTCCCTGAGGCCCTCTTTGAAGAAGAGATCAGCGGTGTGTTTGTGAGGCTTCTGATGGTAGAGATGCAGCATTCTTGGACACTCTCGGAAGGGATCCCATTCAAACCATGAGCTACCCATCTGCTTCTGGATCTACTATTAGAGAACGAGCATAATTGATCATCTGCATAATGCATTACAGCGATCTTTTGAATACTGAAGGCAACACCTTGTGCACCCGGCACATGCTCAAAAGGTCCGAGCTTAGGAATTACCGTCCCTTTGTTGCTCGGGGGATGTTCAATACTTACTTGCCAGAGCTTTGATTCACACTCTTCGGGCTTCCGGAACCGATGCGGCATCCAAGACAGCACCTTCAGCATAAGAACACATGACTTGTGCATTCGCTTCGGATTTTTCTGCAGAATCTTTTCAAATCAAGAGCCCTGTCCCAGGGTGTCTCATTTGCTCGCCAAATTGTTATCTTTCCACGAAATACGGCGTCCAAAAAGCTACTAAAGCAATCTCAGGCTCTGAGATGTAAACTTGGGTTTTTGAGTCACCCAGGTGAAAGGTGTCTGGGCCCCAGCTCACATTCCATCCTTGAAACAAGCTTCTAATGATTCAGACTACCCTTCAGAAGTTATTCCTTTAAACATCTTCCCTGGCTGGCTGGCAGAGCTCTGCAAGTCTCATTGATTCAGTAGGTATCGGCGCAATAAGAGGGTCTTGCGACGAGTGGGTTTAATCTGGGGTGTTAGCTTGGGTATCCAATCAGGGATCCTAAAACTCACAGCGGTAGGGTTTTACTTGGATCATTGCGTATTATCCGCCAGATTTACGCTCTGTAGACTCAAACTGCACTAGGGCTCTTGTCTGCTTACAGTGCTTTGCCTATACCAGTCTTTCTAGCCTTTTCGCACCGGCATTTCTCCATCTTTCTGCAGCCGCAGTGTGACCCGCTGCTCGGACAGCCGCTGCAACTGCCAGCAAGACAGGAATGTCTTCCTTTCCCCTCCTCGAAGCCTCAGCCCCTCCGCCTGCACTGCAAGCTCGCCCAGCAGGGGCCGGCACGCACCGCGCCAATCGCTTTCCCCGCAGAAGGAAAAGCAAGACGCTCCTCTCAGAACCACACCCCGGAGCGTCAGTCCTCCGCGGAAGAAGGCAAAAGTCCTAGTCGATCCTGGATTGGTGGAGCCCGCAATGGGGCCTCCTGTAGGCAAGGGCAACCGCAGCGCATGGGACGATGGGCCCAGGGAGAAACAAAGTGGAAGTGGTGTTTCCTCGGGCCCGGGGGCAGAGGTGGAGAAAGCGGGGTTGATTGCACAAGCTGGGAGGGGACAGGAGGGGAAGCGGAAGTGGGGGACGGATGCGAGGGGGACGGGGGGTGGCAAGGACTTGGGGCAGGCAGAAAGAGGTAAGACCTGGGCCTCTTTTGTCCACTGAGATATCGTTGTGTCAAGCGCCTTTATGAAAAGGGTTTTGGTGCTTGTGACGACTTTCCAACTCCTATATCGCTTGAGATAGGCGACTGAGAAATAGGTAGGCCTAGTCTATGGTGGTTTAGGGTGCAGAGCGCGTAAACCTTTGCATTAGGGTTTTTGGTTTAAGCACCTTGGGCGAATCCAATCCAGATCACATGCCGGTTTGGTCGCATCGCAACATCCCTGAGAGGGCTCCCTCTGCTCACCTTTAGCTGCGGTTGCTGTCGATTCAGCCAGTCGTACATTGCGGAGGCTCTGACAGCTCAAACAACGCCAAGGAGAATGTTTGGATGATGCGTTTGCTTTGCTGGGAATAAGTGATGTGTGAGTGTGGACGGCTTCTTATGTATAGCAAACATGATGAGAAGTTACTTCCGTTGTTGAACTTCAAAGCAGCACGCGTTATCAGAATCGGCCCATTGCTGTATTGCCGCCCGTTGCATTCTCACTCAGTGTTGGATCCATGAGGGAAATTTGCTTTGCCTTGATCTCGCAGCACGTCCCTCCATCAGCTGCATGTTCACCTGATTTGTGCGCAATTCATCAACTTGGAGGACCTTCCAAGTTGCAGACTGTCGAGGTTCATCCTTTTGTCGAGAGTCCTTCTATCACCTCAGGCACCATGCTGGGGTGTGCTATGGTGCAAAAAGCTACAAGTAGTTAGCTTTCTGAATCTGCTTAGTCGGCGACTGCAAGCTCGAATCAGTCCTCCTGGGCTTTTGAGCATGTGAGCCATTCACAGCGTCTTCCTTTTAATCTGACTTTTCTATCCGGTCTGATACTCCACTCTAACAGCTGTCATGCATTGCTTATCATGTATTTGGTTGTGAGGTTGTTGACCAGGCGCACCTACTTTCGTGTGCAGCTGATGAACCCCCTGCAAAACGGGCCCAGCTTTCCAACCCCCCCGAGCCGACACCACTTGATCGCGCCCCCCATAACGGGAGTCTCCCTACCAAACCTCATAAGCGGTTGGAGCTTGCAGCGCTGGGTAAGGAGGATATGGTGATCCCCCGGATCACTGAGTGGCAGTTCGAGACGCAGGAAGATGCGGCGGAAGATGATGAAATCACGAGCGTCAGTAACAAGCGGCCCCTCCCCGGCACGGATCTGCCGGCCCGGCTGCGCCCTATCCGCTGGAGGAACATCGGGAAGGACGTGAAGCGCGGCCGCGGCTGGAAGAACGGGCTGGAGATTCTGGCCAGGGGGTGGGAGAGCGGGCGGTCGAAAGAAGCGAGGGGGGTGGGTGAGGTGCCCCAGGGAAGGACGGGGTGTGAACGAGCCCAAGAAAGCAGGAAGGTCATTGGTGACCCTTCCAAGGTGCGGGGAGATAAGGAAAGCCTGGCACCAAGCTTCGGGACCGGTAGAAAGGCAACTCAGGGGGGTGACAGCAAGGACCGAGAGGAGCGGATGGAGCCCCGACTGCCGACAGTGGACACCCCCTCCAGGGGGGCGAGAATGTCGGGCGGCACCTCTGGGGACGGCCCCCCCAAGCAAGGGGATGCTGCTGTGCAACCTGCAACTGAGCGTGTGCAAGCGGGCGGCCAGGCAACGGGTCTCCTCAGGGTTAAGGCCGGGTCGGAAAAAACCGCGGTTGCAGTCGAACCAGCAGGGGAAACAGTCGATCCGGCAAGGCTGACTGAGCTGCGTCCGGCAGCGCTCCAATCCGTCCAGGGGTTTGAAGCTGTCCCGGTTCGGTACAAATATACCCCAGAGGTGACAGCGCCTGCGCCAACGTGTGCGGACGGTCCGGACCCTGCCAAAGCGTCCGAAAATCCTCCAGAAATGTCTGGACGCTCCCTAGAAGCGTCCGAACGCCCCCAAGAAGCGTTTAAAAGCCCCGCAGAAGCGTCTGGAAACCGTCCAGATGCGCCTGCAAGCCCAGCGGGGGCGCCCGAGATAGCGGAGATCTGCGACAGTGATGCGCCAATTCCTCAGATGGAGCTCAAAGCCCCGGAATCAATGGCTCCGGGAGATACGTCAAGCCCTGAGCAGCAACTGCCGCCGGAAAGCAAACCCTCTCCCGAAAAGGCAACCGAAAGCGCCCCCACCCCGAAGTCCGCCGGAACCTCGGACCCCAGAAGCTTGTCCGAACCCAGAACTCCACTGCCCGGGTCGGAGTTGGCCGCTCCTCAGCCTGCAGACGAATCTGCACCCACGTCAGGCGGGGGAGACAAGATTCAGCCGTCAATTGTGGAACCGAGTACGGCCGCCCCGAAGCGGAAGCGGGGGAGGCCTCCAAAGAAGAAGGCCCCGGAGGAATCGAAGGATACCCCCAAGCCCAAGGCCCGAGTCAAGCGGGCAGAACCCCTAAGCACGGAGGGCCCTAAGCCGCAAAGGGCCAGGGCTCGGAATCTCAAGAACCCGCCGGAACCGGACGAAATGCCGGCTGCCCCGATCCAAAAACTGCCCGATTGCAGGAAAACGGCATCTGAACAGCAGCCGGGGGTTAGAGGACCGGAGCCGGCGGATGCGAGCCAGACCCCTGGCGTGGTCGCAGGTGGCGAAGACGGGTCTTCGGTGGACCTCGACGATCTGCCGCTGTCGGACAGGGTCGCGGACGCGATCAAGGCCCGGGGAAGCTTCCATACCAGGGCGAAGACCGGCGGCGCCGGAATGGTAGCGACAGCAAAGTCGAACAAGGGCGCGCTTTCGGGTTGGGCAGTCGGAGGAAAAGGCAGCTTTAAGGAGGCCTGCTATCCGGTGCAGACGGAGCAGAATGTCTGCTTGCTCGTCTTTCCGAAGGATCGCTCCGAGGTAGGTTGCTTGCATGGCTCGACGTGTCCTTCTTCTTGAGAGGGTTTCCGGCTTCCGCGGAGGCCAGCTTTTGGCATCTCACGAAAATCTGCTCAAAGGTCGTAAAGACAAGCCATTACTTACAGCGCGTTGGATGTTTAAGGAATGGGTTTGAGAGAGTACGGTCGGCTGTCACGAGGAGCGAAAACAGGTTTTCAAGTTGCAGCACCGGTCCTCTGTCACTAGAAGCATTCGTCAGTGGTCGAGAGCCTTTGGGTGTCCGCTACGAGAGGCGGCTCACTACAGTTCCGACAAAGGAGACATCCATTGGGGACTCCGTGCTGACTAACCCTGCTTTGTCACTGGGACGAAACCCTCTTGCCCACGTCCAATCTCATGACTCATCTTGTTTAACGACTTTTTCGTGGTTCCCGTGATGCACTTCACCAACGCATGCGCATGACAAAGATTCTTCCTCTGTTTCGTCGTCACGTCTCAAAACAACCCCGGAAGAAGGAGCAGAGTAGATCTCGTTTATACAAATCGTGTCGAGCATCCAATTTTGCCCCAGCGTTCTCATGTGACCTTTTTTTCGCAGGCACATCAGGCGATCGGCGAGCCGGACCCCTATTCCCAGCTGGTTCTGGATTTCCCCGGGGTACTGACTCCCGAGATGGTCTTGGAACCGTCGGCTTTCAGCAGCGAAAGCCAACACAAGGTGACCGGGAAACTGGCCATGCAAGAGCGCTTGCAAATTCTTGTTGACACCAGGAACGACTGCACGCTTGCGTTAGCTCGATCCAAAGTACTTTTTAGCGCCCGCAGTTATCATTAGCGTCTGTGCCTTCGCTTAACCTGGAACCGTTTGGGTGCAAGAGGTGAACGCATCAACACTCGACAGCATCCCGATCTGACCGTGCACCTAGGTGTGCTGGAGAATTCACGGCGCTTCCACACCCTGTTTTGTGCAGCCCTTGCAGTCGTTCATCCGCCGATTCGCAATGCTTGTTTGGATCTTTGAGGTCGTTTGAAAGGATTGAGCTCGAAGCCGGAATCCCGGAGGATTGGTTTGCATGTCAGCAAACGCTGTCGTGACACGGAGCTTTCCGGATGTAGGCCTCTCTACGTCTTCACAGCGGACCAGAGCTAGAGCTTCGCTTTTCTTTTTTGCAGGCTTCTGAATTCGCGTCTTTACTGCCCCGCCTTCTTCTTACCGGGGCACCCCCGGCAGCGGCCGACCAAGCAGCCCAGCCTGCAAGCGGGGCTCTGCCGCAGGCAACAGGGAAGGAAACAGGGCCCGCGAAGGATGACCAGTGTAAGGGAGCGCCGCAGGCAGGCAGCGGGGGCCTTGTCCCCGAGGAGGCCACCGCCGAGCGAGCGATCCTGCCCTGCAGACCGGATCGGAATCTGAAGACGGCTCCGGGTTGATCTCCTGACACGTGGCAGGAAAGCGGGGCTGAGCATCATGTGCCACAGGTACGTATCCGGCTGACAATTTCGCGTCACGCTTCCTGGCAGACCGCTTTCAGATTCTCATAAGCTGCAGGAGACCGAAACGTCGTTGCTAAGATTATGTTTAAAGTGAAACTTGTAGCCCATGTCTGGTCGACACATCATGGCTGGCCTCTGTAGTCTTTTGGAATATGGTCAGCAAAGAATTTTCTGCTGATGTTAGACACTCTCCCGAGTTGCATCACTTGATTCCAGCCAGTCACCGTCCAACATCTGCCGCGGCACTGTTTTGTTGCGCCTGGAGGCACTGAGTTAGGTTCGACCTCATACAATTAGGATTCGTAGAACTACTTTTGGGCCCCTTAAGCAGCGCTTGAACCATTCTGCCAGGAGTCAAGGTAGCTGCATAAGCAAACAAAGCTCTTCGCGCTCCTGTCGAAAGCAGTTACGAGCCCTTCTCCGTTCAGCCGCAGTTCGAACAGTTAAGGAATCCAGTTCCCTAGCTCTGAAGGCGGTAAACATCTTTCAAATTAAGCAGCTTGGACGTGTGTCGCAGTCCATTTTGACATCGATCTGACAAAAGCTGCTGGAAGGTGTATCCAGTATCATTTTGCAAACGACCCCAGCACCCCACCCTGCAACACCATAATCAGCCAGGAAGCAGTTGTTGTCTCGGGCTACGGAAGCCAATCTGACTCACCGCACCGCTACCGAGAGATGCGGTACATTCGACAGAGCCTGTAGTGCCTGATGTACACCTTCTTTGGCCGTGTTCTGATCGTCAACCTCGCTTCAAACAAACATGAGACCCCCCTTCACGTTTCCAAGCGTTTCGCTCGCAGAGGCCCGTTCCTGTCGGAGGGGCCGGGAGCGGCCCTAGATCACGAACGTCTGTCTCCAGCTCTGATGGTAAGCTGTGCTTGTCTTGTCTGAATAAGCTCAAGAGAAATGTAGGCCTCCTCCAGCACTCCTGCGCGCTCCTTGGAAGGGATCTCAACCTGTCAAAGTTCTTCACACTTTGTCCCAAGAAGCAGTTTTCCCTGTTCTTCTAGTTGCGACACAGAATACAGTATGCGTCCGTCGAACTGTGTGGCACCACTTGTTTGGGGACCAGGCAATAGTGACGTGGCTTCAAACGGCTGCGGAGGCGTTAAAGAGAATCTGTCTTCGGGAACAGGCCTCGTCATCATTTTCTAGGCCGGAAGCCTAGCTCCCAAATTCAACATAGGAGCCGACAATTGAACGTCCGCAGAGTTTGCACCTGCAATTTAAGATTTTGAAGCAAGTGAGGTGGCTTGGATAGTCTCAAGAGTCCCAAGTACGTGCCGTTACCACACAAGACTAAAGCCAGGAGAGTTTTGACTGTATGAGGAGGCGCTTGATCGAGCCTCGATCGGGTTTCCTACTCCTCAGTGTCGGTCTGATAGAACTCCTCTCTTTCTGTCAAACCTTGTCTCTCGCGACTTGGTTCAAATCATCCACTCTGTACCGACCATTCCGGGTGTGACGAGTCTCCTCTCTGGTCGAGTGCCTGGATTACAGTCCAGAGAACCTAGACCCCCTTTTTTTGGAGGTACCCCTGATTCCGAACGAGCGATCTCCCAACGATTTGACCACCTTGAACCAGCAAAAGCATGAAACTTTATTTCTCTGCTTCAGGTCCCCCATCGCAGCAGTTTCTTCGCGATTATTCTTGTGAAGAGCCGGAAACAGGCTGTCCAAAGAGTTTAGCAGTGGCTTGCAAACGTGTTGAGCATTCCTTGTCGGTTACTATTGTCGATGCATTTCACGACACCAGCCGTCGGGCCCAAAAGACAACATTATCAATGTAAACGGAAGTCGTGCATCGGCAGCCAGGCAAGCCAGCGTTAGGTCATTCATGCCATTGAGCAACGTAGTTACCGTTAACGTGAGGGACGCAGGGTTACAGTTGCTGAGGTACGTAAGAGTGCACTAAGGTAGGTCCGCGCACTGTATTGTGTAGGAATGCGCCCTCTCTGATCCTTGCAGTGTTAGGCTGTAAGCTGCATGCAAAGACAACCAGTCATTAGGCGCATTCCGGTTTATGTGGAAGTCTGGGAGCGCAAGGCGCTTTGAGTAAAATTTGATCATCAAGTCTGGTCAAGCGTAGATCAGGAAAACCGGGCAGGCATTAAGGCCTTCAGGCTTAATCGCCGGTTGATACGTTGTTGTCATGGTTTGAGTAAAGCGATTACACTCAAAAATGTAAGTGACTTTTTGACTCGGTGAATTGTAGGAAATCTTGTCAGACAGTTTTCTTTTACATTCATTACTTGCACAAGTACGTCCTTTGGTCACCGGCCATGCAAATTTGCCGGACCAACGAACTTGATACTAGCATGAGATAGACTCAACTTTCAAAAGACGGTGATCATTAACCTGCAACATTCAGCAATCCCGTCCGAGTATGGTGAGCCGGATTGCATATGCGTTTTTGGGTACCCGACAAAGCTTGCAAGCCGCGCTGCGGTGCTCCCTCGATCAGAGTCGGGCTTTCCGGCGGCGGCATACCCGAATCACATGGTATATGATACCATGTGTGCTTGCGATCGCGTGCGCGGCCAAAGATCTAGCTACCGGCCGTATTGGCCGGCGTACAAATTGCCATCATCGTGGGCGCAGGAGCTTCAAAGCATGTCTAACACGGTCAGTGTCGTAATGTCTGGTTGTGGCCAATCCGTCACAGCGTGCGCGTACGTGGGGATCATGCATGCTTAAGCTTGGCGCCGGGCTTAAGTCCTGTACGTAGTATGCTACAGAGCCTAGCACTAGCTACTTGCATTTAAACACTGGCTTGCCTAGGCTGCGCCCGCTGAACTTACTCATTCATCGAATGATTACTGTAACGATCGCTTCGTGCATGTCACTGACCGTATTGTATGCATTGTCCAACGCATAACAAACCTAATCTGCTATTCCTAGAGCGGGCCTTTTGCTAGGAGGCGCTCGCCGCCAGTACCTACTTCAGTGATTGACGCGTGTCCTGATTTCCGCAACGCTGATTGGTGGGTTGGACTGCGTGGGTCGAAGCCTACTCGAAGGCCGCATCGCCCCGCCCGACAGGATACGGTAGATTCTACAGCATTTTCGGGGCATGCTTCCCGGTTGCGATCGATAGATAGGGTCTATTTAGATACTAAATTTCAGCTAAACTTTAGCTATTACTTTGACGTCATCGAACATCTTTCCGCGGTTGCAGCCGGCGAGGTTGAACAGGGGTGGTCATCGAACCGTGGAATCCCAGAGCAGGTTCCATCCGGCGCACTCGAAACGTCCACGTGTTAAACTTACTCTTCAAGATGAC